TAGCTCGTCTGTGTTGGGACATTCTTTTGAACAGTGGTTGCTTTGTTTCCCCGATGTATAACTGGTCGCAGTCCTCCTGGCACTTAACAGCATATGCAAAATTGCTCTGTTTTTTTGCACATTTTTGCACGTTTTTTTTATCAGCTCCTCTTTCACCTCTTTTCTGCTGTGTGTCTCAAAACAGCTCGTTTTTTTACTGTTCCTTGAAGACACTTCAAGCCCCGCCCCCCTCCTGCTTCCAGACTGGTCCACTCCGGTTTGAGAGAGGGCGTTACGTTTTCTAGCTTGCAGAAACATTTTATTTACAATTACAGTGGATTTTGCAGATATGTTCCCTTTAAAGTTGGATTCAATTGGAATATATGCTGCTTATTTGCACTAAATTATATGACGAAATAAGAAAGATAATAGTTGGTTATTGGAGCGGAGGGATGTAATCTGCGTCACTCAACTTCCTTTCATTGAGACAACATGTGCACACTCGGGACAAGTGCACACTCGGGGCAACACGTGCACACTCGGGACAACACGTGCACACTCGGGACAAGTGCACACTCGGGACAACACGTGCACACTGAAGTGAGGCTACGAACCTGCAGCCAGAGTTTATCGTGCTGCGACCACTTCCCTCCGGCCGTGCACTGAAACGTGGCGTTCTGACCCACGTTTACCTCCACGTTCTGCAGCCGCAGGAAGTGAGGAGCTTTACCTGCAACACAAACATTTACACCAGTCACCATTAAAGAAGAAAGTTGTGCAGCTAGATGGAGCAAACAATCCAGAAACTAGTGACAGACACTGAATCATGAGTGAACGTGATGACATGAAAAGTCCCCCCAGGAGATAAAGCCCCCCCAGCTTCTGTTTCCACCATCAGAGTTTACTTTAAAAGGAAAGTGAAAGAGTTTAAATGTGTTTAAAGGGACTGACTGAACCGTCACGGGTTAAATATTCTAAGAAAAGTCTAATAATTACCAACAAATCTGAAGAGTTAGTTTGCATAAATTACACGTTCCGGTCATTTAGGTTCAAGCATGTTTAATTATTCTTTTTTTTATTCTTGTTGTCTGAACTAATCATGCATTAAATCAGAAGCTGTTGCAAGTAAAGCATCATGTTTTATTAAGATCTGCTGCAGCCTCTGAACATCAGGAGGTTTAACACCAGACTGATCATTATGATCCACTGCAGTCACAACGTCTGGACCGAGGATCAGCAGCCAGATGTCAGGTGACTTTAACCTGGACCAGCCTTCGACCGGTTAATTCCACTTCAGTGACTGAGAAGAAGAGAATCAATCATTTATTTAGCAGTGATTATTAACTCTGACACAAACAACAGAGACGTATCAGTGAAGGCTGTTTCCGAAAAGCTTTCAGAAATTATCATTCTCCTCCACATTCCTATGATTTATTTACTTTATACTGATGCTTCTTGTCTTTCCTCTGACAATGGGCCGTTTTCACAGATGAAAACAAAAATGGGTGAATCTCTGCCAAAAACATCTGAAATTTTGACATTAATTTCAGAATTTTTCAAGGAAATTCTCTGAAAAGTCAAATTTGCGAGGAAAAATTCTGAAATTTCCATAATTAAAAGTAAACAT